TACCCTCTTGGAAAAGTAAAAGAAAAGATTCTTTCATTGTTTTACAAACCCTCCCCCAGGTCCACTCCACCATGTAGCCATCGCTCTAGACTCCTGTCACGACAGAAATACCTAGTCACATATCTCTCTTAAACAGTTTTCTCCCTCCTCTGTTTCAGTGCAGTATACATTATTGAACCCACTTTGATCATATCTTGATCGTTACTCTTTCATTGTTGTCCTGTGCCATTGAGTCGGAGCCAAGTTATAGCATGTTTTTGGGCTGACAGCACAGTTTTGAGATAGTGAAAAGTCCTCTTGTTTAAACTGCTTTCAAGTTGATTCCAAACTCATGCTGACCCTCCACTGGGTTTCTGAGGCTATTATTTCATAGTGGGAGGAGACTGCACATCTCTCTCCCAAGGAGCCAGTGGTGGAATCCGGCTGCTGGAGACATGCATCCCTTGGTTAGCGGTACAGTGAAAACTCCTCTCTAGTCAGTAACAAGAGCAGTCTCCTGTTAGTGTTTAATATGTCCCCTGCAGTGTAATGATCAGAACACCCAGTCAAGGACTACTTCACATTCAGCCTGTTCCCTTCCTGCTTTGCCTGCTTCGAGCTGAAATGCCCCCACAATGGGAACTTGGATGTGGTGAACTTCTTTTCTGCCAGTGTGGAAACCTATGCTTGGTGGAAGTTCAGTGTTAGTTCCTTTATGAGGTAGCTCTCTGGTTCCCAAGACACTTTGCTCCTGGGCTCGGTCTCTAGCAAATTCCTTAATGTTGATGATATGTCCTCCAGTCTCTCTCTCTGCTGCTCCCTTGCTCTGTGGTCTTCCAGGCTGCCCCTCTTTAATCCTCATCTGGACCAAAGGCCATACTCACCATCAGTTGTTCCAGCAAGTCTTGGAAAACCAGCCTCTTCCCAGAACAAGCATGTCTTCTCTCTCTCTTTATCAGGACTCTGACCAGCAACAGTCACTAAGACTTTTCCATCACCTAGGGGGCTTATGTCAGGCCATGTCTATTTTCTCACCAAGGACTCTCACTTAACATGGCTCCCTTTGCACCCTGGAATTAACATTTTATTGCTGCTCTATCAGAAACATTACATGTGAGCACTTTTAATGAATGAAAACTGTTTCTTGGTTGTTCTTTGTTGTTTTTGTTTTTTATCTTCACAACTTAGGAGGCTGGCTCTAGAGGCAAACTCTAACTTTCAGTAGAAAATCCTTGTCCCCGCTTCACTGTTTTTCTTCCTGGCCTTTGAAGATGTACATATGACATCTATCTTTACCTCTTTGTGCCTTTTGCTTCTGTGTTTTATCTACTCCTTTATATATCTTGAAGTGATTTAAGACAATATAATGGTAGGTCCTCATTAACAGAACAAAGGAAACTCTATTCTCAAATGAGATTGTGTCCAGAGATATTCCTCTAATCAAACTCATTGTCTTCAAGTTAATTCAGACTCAGAGTAAAACTGCCTAGAAATAATGTATCCAGGGCTGTAAATCTTTACCCATTGGTGGTGAGTTCAAAATCACCCATCTTTTGGTTAGCAGCCAAGCCCTCAACCACTGTGTCACTAGGGTTTCACAAGTATAGGGGTTAGGATTTACAACACATAAATTGAAGAGGGGGGAGGAAAAAAACACACCATAATCCAACTTTTCTTTTCCAAAGAAATTCTCTACTCTGGCTTCTTTAGCCTCAATCTTGATTGTTCTGTGCCCTTGAGGTGCTTGTTTCAGACATGAGCACATGATCCAGCAGCTCACTATGGAATGTGAAAATGTGTGCCATTGATTATTTTGTACCAGACCTTTTGGACTCTCAGCGGCCCCCATTAGGCTGAGTCTCAAACTCAAAGCCGCTGAGTCAGAACTGACTCAGAGCTGACTCTCTAGCACATTTTCCAAATGGAAAAGCACAGTAGAGGAAATTGTCCATCTTTGTCCTATGGAGCAGCTGGTGGATTTGAACTCCCTTGAAGGTGTGGGTTTTGAGTTAGCATTGCAGCTCCCTTTGGACTAGAGAGGGCTCCCCTTTGGCAGGGTTGCTGTTGTTGTTATGTGCCATTGAGTCTCCTGTGACCTATCATGACCCTATGTACAGCAGATGTGAGCACTTCCCTGTCCTGGGCCAGTGTCACTGACGCTAACACACCAACCCCCATTGCCCCAGTTACTGTGTCAGTCTACCTCCTCTGGGTCTTCCTCTCCTGTGCTGTCCTTCTCCAAGCACTGGTCTCTCCTGGCCATGTGCCCAAAGTATGTTGGATACAGAGCTTCAAAATCCTATCCTCCGAGGAGAGACTTAGTGTCACCCTTTCCAAGATAGACCGATTTGTTTTCTTGGCAGTCCATGGTATGTTCAAGACTCTTCTCCAGCGCCACAGCTCAAAGGCACCAACTCTTCTTCTGTCATCCTTAGTCATTGTCCCACTGTCTGGAGCATAACAAGTAAATGCTAAGACCATGGCCTGGGTTAGGTGCACCTTAGTCTCTAGCTTCCCTTTTCCCCTTCATATACATTGAGGTTCTACCTAAAATATTGCTTGGGTTGGGAGGAAGGTCCCATTTCTAAAAAATTTTTAAAAGCACAAATCAGGTAACTTGATTTGGTCTCCCCCAGGCACCAGAGATGTTACTTTTCCTTACAAAATAGAGTCACTTCTTCCATTTCAGAAGAGTCACCCTGGTGTCAGTGCAGAGTCTGTGCTAGGAGGGGATAGGTGACTATTTCATAGGCTAACACTAGTGAAAATGTTCACAAGTTTAGACTCCTTGTTTCATTTTAAGAAATTAAATAAGGTTCTGGGAAAGTGATCCATTGCAGACCTACTTTTGTCTTTTTTCCCCCTCAGAAAAGCCAGTGCTTCAGAGCAGGCACTCTCTGGATGGCTCCAAACTTGTGGAGAAAGCTGACACCGCACAGCCTCTGTGGATCACGTTAGCATTGCAAAAACAAAAAGGGTTTCGGGAGCAACAGGCAACTCGAGAGGAGAGGAAGCAAGCCCGAGAAGCCAAGCAAGCAGAGAAGCTCTCCAAAGAAAGCGTGAGCAACTTCGCTGTCAGCTTCGTTTAGCCTCCCTGAGTTGTGACCTGCAGGTCACAAGGAGGAAAAGAAGATGTTCGTGAGAGTAATGGAGAATACTTAGGAAATGTTCAGAGCAGTAAATCGACCACTTCCAAACACTGGAAGCCTTTTCAGTCAGAAAGCTGATCCAGTTTCACTCTGCTCCAAGAGAAACCTGATTTGGCAGAATCCAGGGTGCATTAGATAGTTCAGTGACACAATTCTTAACTCTTGCTGCAGGAGGCTAGGGTTCAGTTATAATCACCACCCATCTATCATTGGAGGCTTGCATGTTGCTGTGATCCTCAGCAGGGTTCAGTGGAGCTTCCAGTCTCAAACAGACAAGGAAGAGCATTCTGGTGATGTGCTTCTAAAAATCAGTGGAGGAAATGATCCACAGCAATCATGGGGGTGGTGCATAACTGGAAAATGGCTCATTTCATTGTGCATGGGGTTGCTCAGGATCAGGCGCTGATGCAGGAGCAGCTGACAGCAACATTCTATACACAATTACATGAAAATGCTTCTACTGGAGCAATGAATTGAGAACGAATCAGAAGTCTTGCTCTGTAATTCAGGTATTATAGTCGGTTAGATGTGGCCCTTCCAGGAAAGTAACATTCTCTCTTTGGCACATTTTCACTGAGCTGGTCCGTTCTAGGGGGTACCACTAAGCACCTGTTGCTCAAAATACAGTCCACACACCCCTTGAGAGCAGAGGTGGAAGAGGCTGGCAAAGCCAGTGGTTCTAGGACCTTATTTGAGAACATGCTTCATCTGACTTTCTCTGCCCATCCAGGTCAGTGTCAGCACGCAGCCTGAAAGCAGTATCAGCAGAGCTGGTTCTCTGCACAAGTCTGCCGTTCAGCCAGCAGAAGAAAAGAAGCCCGAGACAGCGGTGGCTAGACTCGAACGCAGAGAACAGCTGAAAAAGGCCAGCACACTGCCGACATCTGTGACAGGTAGAGGGCAGGTCCAATTTTAGTACCGTAGTTTCAGCTCCCTTTTTTAGAGCATGCTTTTATTTCATACACATGAAGGGCAGTCGTAGTTCACGAGTGAATTCTTGCTGTCAGTGGAAAATGGGTTTAATTCCTTGCTGATGCGCCTCATCCGTAGCTTCCACCCATCTGTCAGTGGTGGCTTTCGTATCGGTATGATCTAAGAAGGAAGGCTCATGGTTGACTTCCAAAAGCTGCACAGTGAAAAACACTACTTTTACGCGCCTCTAAGCCCAGGCTGTCTGACAGATATTTTAGTAAACTTTAACTCTGATAATGCTCATCTCACAAATACCACCAGGAACTCACCCACAGCTAGTGACTCATAAAATTTAACAGTTGGCTCTTCAGGGGTCCAGAGAACTCTGATCTATAGCATTTGCCATTTTCCATGGTATAAGTACATCCATCATGGCCAAGTTCAGTGTGACTTCCCACTGGCTCACAAAATTCCTGAACACAAGTCAATATGAGCCTTTTCCAGCTCCTACCACCTGTATTTGAGCAAAGTTATGTTTATTAACTTGGTTCAGCAAAGGAGACAAGGTCAGAACAAAGGAGTAACAGAATTTTAAGGAAAGGTAGAGCTTAGTTAAAATTTAAATGGGACATTGTTTTTGTGTTCTTCTCCAGGAATGGGCCCCTCCTGATAACATGTTCAAAGTAAGTGAGGCATATGTGACAAAGTTTTATCATTCCTGCTTCTAAGAAGCATTCTAAATATATCTCGTTTTAGACAGAGTTGGTCATTCTGCTAGCATTTCATGGTACATTCAGTATTCTTTACCAGCACCATAATTCGAATATATCAGTTCTTCTTTGGTCCTCCTTTTGCATTTTTCAGCTTTCACATGTATTAAGCTGGAAAATACCCTGGAGAAGAATATATAATTTATGATAAACTAGAGCAAAAAACAAAAAAAAAAAAGAGACACTCAATGAGATTAATGACACAATGGTTGTAAATAATAGTGTTAAACATACTGATGATTATAAAAATCCAAGAATAAAACTCAGAAGGTTTTTATTTAAAGAGAAATTGATTGAGAGTACAGTTTAAGGTGGGTAGTTGCTGAGTCCTCCTGCCAGGGTAAGACATGCCCTCCATTGAGGCAGAGAGTGGCAAGGACTCATAAAGGCAAAAGCTGCAGGTGGCTGGGGTACAGCTAAAGCTATCATCATTGCCTGAGTTAACTCTGAAGGAAGCTGAAGTATAGCTAAACTCATTTTCATTGGTAAAGTTTAACCTCAGCTGGTTACGAAAAGATAATAGAAAGCTGCAAAGTATTAGAAGGAGATCAGAAAAACATTTTTCAAGGAGAGTTGATGAACATTTTCTAAGAATCAGCTGGCCTATAATTTTTCACGGGAACGCCTTTTTCCTGAAATTTATTAAAACAATCTACAGTTGAAAAACTTGAGAGAGAATTTTGCAAAGCTTATGTACATGGCTGAAGATGTAGTTACTCTTGTTTTCTTGTCCACGCTGGGCCAAGAGCCTATCTTTGGATTTTTCCCTTAGCCATTCCCACCTTAAGAATTTTTAAAAATTTATTGGCCATTCATTAAAATTAAAAAAATGATTTGCCACTATAATTGCACAGACTTTTATTTTACCATATAGAAAATGTAATCTTTAGGGCAAGTAGGTCTCTTGTTGCGCCATCAGTAACCAAATTTCTCTAAGGATTTTTAGTGGTTGAATGGATTGTGTCTAATCATTTGCCTTTTAAATCATTTAAGACCTCAGATGATAATCAGACAAATTACATGGTTCAAATGTCATCATATGAATAGCTGGGCACCAGGACAGTACACGACACTTCTTTACCATTCTGTCTAAACTTTAGTGCTGATTGGCAGAAAGGCTGCATTAAGAGGGGAACCAGTTGACCTGTGCAAAAACTTAAGCCATAGAGGTCTCGGTACTTTAATTAAAGTACATAACAATGCATTGTCTATGAGGATGAATGCTTTGTTATAAAATCGAGAGGTGTACGAAAAGAAACATTTGATTAAGAAATGATTCAATAAAGTGATTAAAAATGAGAATAATTATGAGTATGAGATTAATTTTTAAAATATTGATAATATGCATAGAAGATCTTATTCGGATAGAGTCTAGCTCGGGTAGGAACCATGTGTTATATAGGCCTGGCTCTTGAGAAGAGTCATCTAGTCTAGATGTCATCTGCTTTTGATCTCCAGGTTATTGAACTTTGAGTTTGAATTCTTCCTGAATTGAGTTATCCAAGTGAAGGCTTTTTCACGTGCAAGAAGTAGATCCAGGGCTTGGCCCTGTGTGATTTGGTGGCACAAGGGTTTGTAAGAAGGACCAAGTATGGTCTTTTCCATCTAAATACAAAGGAATATTAAAATGATATCTTTTCTAATGTGTATCTTTCTAGAACGATTTTAGGAAGTTTTAGGATTTTATTTTCCAGTCATAAAATATTTTTTAACCTTAAGAGGAAAATCAGTTACCCATAGTATAGTTAAAGTATGAATAGGATCATTGGGTTGAAAACCATTCAGTTTGGAAAAATTATTTTCGTGTTTATTCTGAACTTTGGTATGTGCTATCTTATCTTCTAATCTACAGAAAATACAATGCTGCTAAAAGAGAAAAAGGAAATTTTTTTAAATGTTTATAAAGTAGAATGGTTAGTATCGGTAATATTCTTATGAAAATCTTATAGTAAATTTTCATTTACTTAGTTCTATGTGATTAATTTTTGTTTTATGCAATTCTGGATCAGCAGTCGTCTGAAAACCTAAAAAAATTTTTATATGGGTTCTAGAAATATTGATATGGTCTAGTAATATCTATATTTGAATTATAATCGTATTATAAATGAGATATAATCCATTGGTGAATTCTTTTAATCAAGCATTTTCAGTAAATTGGCAGAGTGAAGACTTTTTTTGTTCTTTTTATACATCTTTATTGGAGTCACTTTTTTAAATTAAATTTTATTAGTTTTAATGAACATTTACAGAGATTTTGGGTTTTCATTCATTCATTATTGCACTGTTTTCTCCACCCTCCTCCCCAGTTCATTCTTCTTTCCCCCTCCCCAATGTCTGTTTTAATTGTCCAACTGCCACAGTGCTTGCCAAAGCCAGTTCTGATTAATC